CACTTAATACTTTCCCACCCACAAACATTTTACACACACACACAAAGTGTGTGTGTGTGTGAGAGAAAATTTACATTTCATTTAAAATTTGAGTCACATATATCTGGGACAGGGAGCTTTGAGGTTCTTGTTGAGTAACTACTACCCAAGGATAAAATGTCTGGACTATTGGCATCTGTAGGTACAGAATACTTGGTGAGGAATGAACCTAACTCCTAATGACTTTTGATGAGGGATACAACAAATAATTTTTGTAACGGCACAAAAACTTTTACTGTATATATACCTTCAAATAAATGGTTCAAATCCAATAGAAACTCTGGGGAATGAGACCGTATATTTGGACTATGGTGCAAGATAAGACTTTCTCAGCACCAAGTCCCTTAACATTTGTATCCATTGCCATTGCAATCATTCTAACATTATACTATCATGAAAATGAATATCATTTGTGGTGACTCCTACACTGGCTACAGTATTCTCAATGTACACTGACAGCTTTGGTAATAATGACTTAAATGTTACTATCAATGTACTTTACACTGTCTAAGGAAGAGAAAGAAACATGGAATTTACAGCACTATAGCTTCTCTTTCTCCCTCTTGGTATAACATAACCATAACCTGCACTGCTTTAGGATTTGTCACGCAAATGACGATAAACAGTGAAGCTTCCTAAAAACCAGTGGGAGGTACAGGAAAAATTTCCTTTACCAAATAAAGCATATATAATATACATATTCTGCAATAAGAAGTAGTACCACCTTCTCACTTTGCTTGGATAATGAAGTTATATGGTAAGTGCCTCTTGCTTCAAATATCTTGAGTATCAATCAGAAAAGTCTTGACCAAGCATTCTCTTCATGAACAGTTGATTTATGTGCACTGATGAGTATCAAAGTTTACAGCTTTACATTCAAAGTCTGTGTTTAATGCTGCAATAGATACCCATCACATACAATTGGAACATTTCTTATATGAATGAGCTTATTTTACTATACAATGCAGTCTTACTAATAGGTTAAGGAAGACTTGCAAATATAAATATATGGATTAAATGGACCCCTGGGAGGTTCTCCCATGTTATAAATTCTGATCATGTGACTAATTATTCAGTGTAAGAAGATATGGAAGGCAATAGACAATCCACTTATTCAATAACAGCTTCACTTCCAGTCTCCACTAGTACCTGACAGTAAACATTTTCTCAAGTCTCAACTGCATTACCATATACTGCAAAACAAAGGCAAAGCTTTACATTTTGGTGTACAGTAAAGTACAAATTCACAGCATTGATTCTACTACTATACTTTCAAATTACCCTTTGAGCCACAGTACAGTACTTCCTTCAGTGCATACAGATGATGGATCACATAATAATTCTAAGATTTCTGAATGTGAAGATCTGTGCTTTTAATCTTAAGACCTCACACCAAATTCTGAATTATCAAAGACAATGCATCTTGTTTGTCTTTACCGTGATCTCAGTCAGCAATATAATTAAAGTTTTATTGGATATATTACTAGAATAAAGCACTTTTCCTGATATAATAATAATCAGGTTCTGGATGTTGCCAAACAAAAAAATTTAAACAGCAATTTTACATTAATTGCAAACTTTATAATTGGATTGCTACCAGACAACCTTGTACCCATAAGTAGTTCATGGTTGGACCTCTACCAGACATAGCCCCACTCGTGTACCCAGAAGGAACTCGTACACAAAAACAAATCCTAGACTCCATTCTATAATCAGTATGTACCTTCCTAGGAAGTACTCACTTCATTTGAAATTACTGTAATAAAAAATGCTATTAAACATGTCCATCTATTCAGTTTTAAATGCCATTTTAAGTATTTTAATGTACTCAAGTCAAATGAATAGGAGAGCAATGTAAATAAGTAAATTTAATCCAATTGATTTTCTTCCTCAAGGCCAGTTATTGCTCAGGAATGTTGAGCTGCATATATTGTTTGGTATAAAGGATTCCAACAGTCTAATAATCTTAATAAAGCATCAGATGTATCATGTTTCCTTGGTTTATCCTATGCTTATGATGGCCAAGATAAAGAGGAGGTGAAAACCACAAGAAACTTATCTCAATGTTAAGTCCTCAGTTAAATATATTGAGAATGTTTCCATAGCACTGATGTGCATCACCTTCTTTTGAACCATGCAAAGGAAACACTGTCAACTCTCATATGAAAAAGTATGTTATTTAGATTACTTCTCTATAAGTTCAGGAAATGGTGTTGCAACAATACTCTTAAGTAACTATTATTTCCCAATTGTTAAAGATTTCACTGCTCTTGTGTGCTTCATAATTAATTGAAGGAAATTGTTTATAACTTATGGACTGAAAAGTTAAGAAATTTTATACATTCCACAATATCAAGCTATGCGACACCAATGTATACAGCGCTTCATTCAACTAAAGGAAATCGAGAAGTTGAGTGAGATAGATGGACTAAGTGATAGCATTTCTAGATGTTCCTGGCTAAGTACCAGTCTTATTTAATATTTATGCATTAAAAAACTAACAACACTACCCTAAAATAACTGATTCTTAAATTAAAATGGAATGCTTTGCAAAGGATGAATTTTTCATGCAGAACAGATATTTTCCTTTCATGAAACAAACTTACCAAATTATTAGGTTGTCAAAACCTAAGATAATTGAACAAAAGATGATTACTCGTCAGAATAATTGAAAAGTCTCACCACCTCTAATGATAGCTCCTATAATTTTTTAAATCTTTATCAGTATTAAAAGGTATCCATATAAAAACTATATATTCAAAATCTCCTAAATGCCTACAAGATAACACCAAATAACATAAACCTTGACATGTACAGAAGTACACAATTTCCATGGACAAACGTGTCTTAATACATGCAAATAAGGTACATGGTAACGTAAATAGACACTGGTGAAGGATATATGCAATGCCTCTCTTTAAATTTCAACCCCCCACACATGCACCATGAAGTAACCCCTTCTCATTAGCTTTAAACCCCCACACACTCACATGTATCATAAAGCAACTCCCTTCTCATTAGCTTTAACCCCCCCCCCACACATGCATCATAAAGCAACCCCCTTCTCATTAGCTTTAACCCCCCCCCACACATGCATCATAAAGCAACCCCCTTCTCATTAGCTTTAACCCCCCACCCCCTTCTCATTAGCTTTAAAAAAACCCACACACATGCATCATGAAGCAACCCCTTTTCTCATTAGCTTTCAAGCTCCACACATGTACAATAGTAACAACGAACAATACAAGATAATGAGATACAAAGATGATAATTTTCAAATGAGCATACAAAAGACAAAACTAGAAACACAAATAAGAGAACTTGCAGGGGAAGTTGTAGGATGCATGTATACGTTGCATTACAAGCACACACACACACACACACACACACACACACACACACACACACACACACACACATGTATGGATATCTCACACAACTTTTTTTTTTTTTTTTTTAGTTTTTATCACATTATTAAATTGTTGTTTAGCTGAATCATAACATGGTTTTTAATTTTACATTTGAACTTTAATAAGATATTCAAACATAGGCACAACTCACAAGTCAAACCTGGCCCGGCCAGGCTTGGGAAGTAGAACTCCCAGAACCCCATTCAAGTACAATCCAGGTACAACTTTAAAAGAATGCCAATTTAACTACAGGCAAGTATTGTATTTTTTTAGGCAACACCTTGAACTGAGTTTTTTCATCCAGAATTATTACTAAAAAAACAATATAGTTGGTCAATGTACAAGGCTTTTTTTTCTTTTTTTTTTTATACCCATTGGCAAGATATTTTCAAGCATATATTTAGCAAAATCAATTATTAGGGGCAAGACCTTTTTTTTTTATATAAAAAAAAAATTGTGTGTGTACCACCCTTTGTAAACTTTGTAAATGGCACTAGCCAGTCAAAAACTGACATACATACATACATACATACATACTACCTATACATATATACTCATTTCAGAAGGAACGAGTAATGGAAAATCTGAGCAATTTTGTGTTTTTAGTCAGGAATACTGTGTTTAGGCAGAGCGCTCCATAATAGTATGTTGATAAACAAACATGCTCAAATTTCCTGTTCTTTCCTTGTGTGGTTACCTACAAATGAATGTATCTTTTAATTATTATTCATGGGTGTGTGTATCTCTCTTATACACATATATATACTGTGTGTGTAATATTATATATATATATATATATATATACACACACATTATATATATATATATATATATATATATATATATATATATATATATATATATATATATATATATATATATATATATATATATATATAAATACATACACACACACACACACACACACACTATTTGTGTATACTGGCAGCAGGTTTTCATTTATACATGTTTCATTGAATATGACTGCATATTCTGCATTTAATATTTTCTTGTTTAGGGCTTCTATCCCGCTAACTAGTGCTCTTGCATCTTGGTTTAATTGGAAAAGGATTTTTCCAAACGTCACCTTTGTTCGAGGTTAAAAAAATTAATAATTAACTGTAGAATATATATTACACTTATTATAAATTTACACATTTCCCTATCCATCACCCATTTATGCCCTACTCTTCCTTTGCGATGTACTCCCCTCTTACTTGCATTATGTAGCTGACCTCCCTAATGGTATATCTCCAATATGCCCAGCACTGTCCCTTCACTTGGGAATGAACCATGTAGGTTTGAAACATTGTGTAAATTTATATTAAGTGTAATATATTCTACAGTTAATTATTTATTTTTCTTCACCTTGAACAAAAGATGACATTTGGAGAAATCCTCTTCCAATTATACCAAGATGCTAGAGCATTACTCAGAGTTATACAAGAGCCCTAAACAAGAAAATAATTAATACAGAATATGCAGTCATATTCAATGAAAAAATATATATATATATATATATATATATATATATATATATATATATATATATATATATATATATATATATATATATATATATATATACACATAAATTCATACAACTATATACAAACTAATAATCATAATCACATACACATACAGTCAAATAATTAACTTAATCCTAACCTGATATTGTTGCACCCAAATCCTTAAATTGCAATGCTGTTTAAAACCAATTAATACACATATCACAATGTAACTCTGAATAAATCTGTCGGATAACTATCAGTGTACATGTATTTGGTAATCTTGGAGGCTAACTTGTGTATTTTGGAATTGCAAGAAGTGAGTACTCCCTGAAAAACGTAAGCTCTATGAGGGAGCAGCATTTGTGTCTGCATAATCCGGATCACTGCCTATTATATCAAAATCTGAGAAGTAAGTACACAGGTGATAAAATGTAGGTCTTTGTACAGGATCCAAGTTCCAACATTTACACATGAGTTCATAGAGAGGATCAGGACAGTGTTGATTGATTGGTTTACCCATTCGATATCCATTGGGCACCGCTTCTGCAACCTCTCGATTGGTCATCCCTGAAATGTAAAGAAAAAAAGGGGGAAAATTAAATTTGTAATTACTAAGTAAATTACATGGAAGTAACACTGCAAGTGATGTAGAACCACTACAAGAAAATATATTCCTTCTTCTGCCCCTTCAAAACACTGATGGCTAATTTTTCTTTTGTAGCTTCATACTGTACTTACACATTAGTTACCAAATATGCAACTGCAAGTTCAAGATCGTTTTATACCGGTAAAAGTCTGAAAGTACTTTCATACTCTTGACTGCAGGAAAAGGCAATGTAAATAAAAGATTTCAAGTTAATATGAAAAGTACATGTAATGTATCTAAGCAGAATCATTCAATTGCCTCCTTTTGTAAGAAGTACTGTGATGCTCTGTCCCTGACAAGCATCGTGAAATGTTAACCTTAAAGGCTCGGCTAATAAGTGTTACACTATAATGCCCATAATAGGAGGTAATCACAGATAGCGATTTGAGCCATTTAAAGGTAAGGCATGGTGATCAGTCACAGGAGCCATAGACAACTATCAAGTAACTCTATTGATTATACAAGATGCTGCTATATTAACCCCTAAGCTGCTCTGGGCTATTTGGTCTTCCACACCCACAGGCACAAAAAAAAAAAATAATTTTGTCTTGTGGCATATTTTGCCCACAATAGGGCTCGGAAGTCTGTCAAAAAAAAAAAAAAAAAAAAAAAAAAGAGGCGTTGAGAGAGCAAGTGCCAGAGGAGGTCATCTACCGCCCCAGCTGTCAGGCGGGAGTTGCCACAAAGATATTATTACCTAATTATTTCAATGTCTCTGACTGATTTTTTCCTAAGTGTTTTTGCAGTAATATTATTCAATAGTGTGTAGTGTGATATATTTATATATTAAAATATGTGAATCATTGCTATACTCAAAAGTACTGTGATCATATTAGTGATTCAATTATTATGTTCATAAAACAATAAACAAATAGTTTTGCTGTTATTATGCTATATACACAGGTTTTATATAATTTTCTGTATGTTTTGTTCAGCATAACAAACCACTAATTTGGTATTGGTGAGTCAAATGCAATGAGTTGTGGCCACTCGCCACCACTCCCTCCCTCAACAACACATCACTCAACATTCCTCCTCCCACCATACTGTTTTTGCTTTTATTCACTTTATAGAGAAGTTATATATAAGTATCTACATGTTTTGTTCACTATAACTTTACAACAAAACTGGTATGTTGAGTTCAGACAGTAGAGTGGTTGCTACACACACACACTCAGCTGACGGCTGCCTACCTCACTGGTTCAAGGCCAGACGCACTAACATTTCTCCTTCAAGTATACTGTTTGTAGTGTTATTACACTATATACAGACATTTTATATATAAGTATCTACATGTTTTGTTAACCATAACTGTACAACTAAGCTGGTTTGATGCCCAAAGAGCATAGTTGTCACTCTTACACAGCATGACAAGTCATGTTGACGATGCCACCGCCTTCACCAAAATTGCTTCTCTCAACATTGCTTTCCTTTTGCTGTTATTACACTATATATACACATTATATATAAGTATCTACATTTGTGTTCACCATAGTGAACCACTAAGCTGGTTTTTTAAGTGCAGACAGTAACAGGTGGCCACACACATTCAGCAGACGACGCTACAGCCCACCCACCCTCAACATTACTCCTCCCACAGCACAGCGCAAATTATTACAACAATCCTGCTATTAACAGAATCCTGGTCACTTTTATCACAGTCGGGGGTCTTCTGTAATACTATCATCGCTAAATAATACCAGTTACATATATGTTTGACATTTTTTGGCGATGCTGTGGTCACAAGCTGAACAACAGTGCTGTGAGCTCATGCTGCGTGTGCCAGCCTTGGTGGCTCACACAGTACTGAGGCTTTGACACCCAGGAATGTTGCCCCGATTTTTTTTTAAATGGCATCTGTTTACAAGAGCCCAGAGGATGCCGATGTGAACCCCGTGTAGCCGCAGGCCCTTTAAATCTTGCATGGTACTCCAAAATGTCACATGAAGGGGTGTGCACTTTTGTGTCAGTTACTCTACACGTCATATGAAGTGTTGCACAGAGTTAAAGATCACTCAACCCAACCAAAAGTGACTGACCAAAAGAGGTGTAATCATAAAAACTCAAAATCCATCTAATTTCTCTCTTGCATGCAATTGAGTAAGAAAAATGTAAGGAAGTTCTCTTTCACTACAATAGTATTCGGCAAGTGGAATGCATTAAAGGAAGAGGTCGTTAAAGCTAACTGAAAGAGGTAACTAGTGTGTTACAGTTATCTCCTGCATCTTCTTGAGATCTTGAGATGATTTCGGGGCTTTAGTGTCCCCGCGGCCCGGTCCTCGACCAGGCCTCCACCCCCAGGAAGCAGCCCGTGACAGCTGACTAACACCCAGGGCTCATGCTGCGGCTGCATATTAGTAGATTCTGCCTGTTCCTTACCACCTACGAATCAGCATGCTCCAACATCAAGATTCAACATCAACAATAACAACATGTGCCACACATATTTTCTAGAAACATCTTCCACCCCCCCCCCGCACCATCCACCCTATTTTCCAAGAGAGAGACAGCACACCTGCCGTTCAGCCAGCTCTCCCGACGCCAGACAAACTATCGCGATGGTAGTTATTTTGCCGGCTTCTAGTCTACAGCTCCAGAATTCGCGCCAAAATGATATCACAGCCCCACATATAAAAACTTGTCAGCATCCAGTGCAGCAGATTACTCTTCTAGTGCGCATTGCTTCCCCATCTATCCTCGCCCACAGGTGACGGTAGACGCATAGCATTTTGTATAAATTATTACCTTCACCTTTGTTATTAACGTAAAATTCACATGTATATATTTCTCTTTTGATTGTGTTTAAGACAATTGGATAAAGCGTTTTGTTTTCATTGTTACTTATCATTTTGTGTAAAATTAAAATAATTTTTTTGTTATATTAAATGTTTAAAGTTTTTATTCTTTGTTTTTTGCCCACAATTGATACACTGTAGAGGACCCAAGCAGATTTATTTTATTTTGTTTTCTCTTTTTTTTTATTAATGTATGTTTGGCACAATACCAGCCAGAAAAGTTACTGCTCTATTCCACATCACAAGTGTGTTAGGTCTAAATGGCTATGAGGCAGGGCATAAAGAGCTTGATCTCGCTCCCCCATAAGCTCTGATACTTAAGCGTAAGTGACCACTGACAAGGGTCTCATTATCTGCTCGTTTGCCTGGTTGGCTACGAAGATACTGTACACCCTCACCACCACCCGCCAGCACCATGTGCTCCAAGATTACATCACCTCAAGGAAGCAGCATCAAGTGCACCTTAAGGTTACAAGACCTAAATCTTCACATGAATGATGACTTAAAAAGACTGAAGGTGAATTGAACTAAATCCAGGAACAAATGGAAAGACCAGAGGCAATCAAATGACTCTGCTCATGAAGGCACATTTCATTATAATTCAAAAACTTATTATTGACCATTGTATATGTCTAATTACCCAAGTGAAATTATCTGTGCATAGTTACAGGACAAGAGCTATGAGAGCAGTCTTGGTGTCCCATCTTCCCTATGATGTTTTGATGCTGAATTTGAATGCTCTTACTTCTGAGGCTGAAGTGGGGAGCCAGACTTTTTTGTGATAACTGATCAGTAAATGTTGCTGGCAGCAGCCTGCAGGCCCACATACCCCTCACAACCTTGCTGATACAGCACATTGCACAAACCTCTTTTATTCCTTCATGAAAATTTAAACTATTTATTCCTGCATTTCTTATTTTGTTTTATTATTTTGCTTCTTATATTTACTGGTAAAGAGGTCAAAAGCTGTGAGCCTCTGATACTCGTAGTGTTCTCTGATTGTGCGTATAGTACACTTACTCTTCACTTGGTCTACTCTACATTTCCAATTATATCTTTCACTCCAGTAACGTATTTTATTGTATAAATTTGTAACACTACTCCTCGCATATTTCATGTACATATCAGTGATGTTTCAACTTTATTCCAGAGGGAACTTTCTGACTACTGTACCTTGAAATAGTCCTAGCAGTTTAAGAATTTTTATGTGGTTATGCATTTAACATATGCTTTCTGTGTTCCTACTACTCATATTTCAGACATCTCTCCCGTCTTGAAATGGAAGCGAGTATATAGCAGTATTCCAATTCATATAGCATAGGAATTGCAATATGCTGACATTCCCTGTTTTGCAGGTCCTCATTATTCCCTATATTATTTTCTTAGCTAATGCTAATTTTATTTTACTGAAATCAATTTAAAAAGTAGTTATACCATAGAAAAATGTTGACATGAACCTAGCTGTAATATAGGGAAATGCTGGTGCGAGTGGTCAACTGCTTTGTAAGAAAATAATAGTACTATAATAACCTAAACCACATACACGAACAAAAGGAATGTTACATTGTCACATTCCTTTATTTGTTTGTGCTGGCTTATTTATTTTGAGCCATATTATCTTGGACTTATTCTGTGCAAAGAGATATAGTGTCAGCTATAGTAATCTAAGTTTAACTTAGTCTCTGAGAAACCACTAGAGAATTATTCCCTAGTTTCTCTCTCTCTCTCTCTCTCTCTCTCTGTTGACGGGACAGCATTAATCTGTTACTTGACCATTGTCATTATGAGAAAAAATAAGCAGTATTAATAATTATGAACAGTTTAAGTAGTTAACACTTTCGCGCACCCCACACGCCAGCCCTCAACTAGGCCCAGTGGGTCCCAGCATTTCACAGGAGCGCGTGGTAGTTCTGAAAAGTGTATACTCTCTTCAACTTTGTCACCTCAATTCTTGTCCAGGGTTTTTCAATTTGGTATCATTGTGTTCGCAATAGAATTCTCTACACGACTAAAGACACAAACTCCAAAAGCCCGGCGTACCATCCACAACAGAGAAAGTGAATGCGCGTGTTACCCGGGAGCGCATAAGAGCGATAAAATGTGTACACTCCTTTCACGTTTGTCAC